TACCATGGCCGGCCATAGACTAGTGTAGTGTATTCGTGTCGTGGGAACGGAGTTCTGCGTGCTTGTACGTGCACATAGTTTTATCTTTTTAGTTGAAATATGTCCAAAATGTAAATGTTTTGGTCCGGTTTGTATAAAATATGTCGTGTTTGCACGAATTTTGTCTGGTTGGTTCAAAAAATAGTTGAATGTATGTCAGCAGCGTTGGATGGCCGTCTGCCGCATCCATGTCTGCGGACTGGTCCCCCCTATCTGTCTGTGGACGGATGCGAGAGGAAATTTATGGGTCACCGTTGGAGATGCCCTAATAGCTTTGGAGTGACGAATTCCTTATATGCACGGCTACTATGAATTGCCGTTTGAGAGGGGTCATTGGGCTTCCGAGGTTATCTACATCCGCCATGAATAGTAAAATAAAAAATACTAGAAATATTTTAGAAAAAATATTTTATTTTTACGTGGAAGATGTTTCAGTGCGTGAGGTTCATGCAAAAATTCAACTTGTTTGAACGTCTGAGTAGCTCTCGGCAAAAGAAAAACAAATTTGAAGTTTGAGAAACAGTGTACTACTTATGTATTGTTCGGACCGGTTTTGTTATTTTTGCTGAGAGCTACTTACATGTCCAAATAATCTGAAATTTGAAGAGGATCTCACGTATTGAAACATCTACCATGCCAAAAAAATGGATTGTTTTTAATTCTTTGCTGTATTTATTTTACTCTTGCTTTTTTCCTTTTGCAGGAAGCCGCTGTTTCTTTTTTCTGATATATAAAATGCTCGTGGCTCTTTGGGTATGATCGAGTTTGGATTGGAATCCTTTAACCCGAAAGCACTAGTTAAGGAGTACTCCTTGCGGAGATCGGATCCGGCTTGCCTGCTCTTTTCCCATGCTCCCATCCGTGCTCCCACTTCATCCTATGGCTGTCCTTTTCTCTTTTTCTTTTCTAATCTAATCTTCTCCCCCCCCCTGATTTTTAGGGGGTGGGGCCGGGTCTTATTTTCTTCCAATCAAATCAAGCCACGTACGCGGGAGCACGGATGGGAGCATGGGAAGGAAGCAGGCAAGTCTCGTCCGCGGAGATCACTCCAACTTCCATAAATTGCGACAAGTGGCACGCTGCATGTGCGCCACTTGTCGCAACCCGGGAGTTTTCCCTTTTTTCGTAGATCCGTTTATTCAAAACGTTTTATCTCTTAAACCGTGCGTCCAAATCTTGAACCGCTTTCGCCGTTGGATTCCTTGCGTCGAGATCTTCAAAACTAGATCCTATGTTGATAGGTTTTGACGAACTTTTTTTCACGAAAAAAACCGGACGAAAAAACCTGACAAAAAAACCGAACCGGGAGCACGGATTGTTTTCCCTTTCCGAAAGAGGCACACCCGTGCCTCTGACGAAATCACAACCGTTCCTCTCGCGAAAGCAAAACCGTGCCTCTCGTGAAAGAAAGAAAAAACAGAAAACGCGTTTTTTTTCGTTTTTGAGGAGGCATGGCCGTGACTCTCGCGAATGCACAATCGTGCCTCTCGCAGAAGCAAAACCGTGCCTCTCGCGGAAGAAAAAAATAGAAAACGTGTTCTCTTGTTTCCAAGAGGCACGGTCGTGACTCTCACGGAAGCAAAACCATGCCTCTCGTGAAAGAAAAAAACAGAAAACACATTTTTTTTCGTTTCCAAAGGATACGGCCGTGCCTCTCGCGAAAGCACAATCATGCCTCTCGCGAAAAAATGCGGTTGTTTCCAAAAAAAAATTCAAAACTTTTTTTGGTCAAAAAGCTAGTGAAGACCGGTGGAAAACTAAAACGTAAAAGAAAATCGTTTAAAAAGCCGAAAACGCGTGCAGAAAAATTAAAAAAGAAACAAAATCCCGAGGGAGTGTCCAGAGCGGGACACGTGGCGAATGGCTGAGAGCGCGCTAAGTGGCGCTGATTGTTGCGAGCCTCCCGAAGAAGCGCTCGTTAATTAGTTGCTCCCCCTTTAACCAGTGAACCTTTCGAGTCGTTCTCTAGGGGTAGGCCTGGGCTGGCCCAAAAGGCCCAGTTAGCTATTTTTCTTATTTATTAGAACATAAAAAGGGTCATCCTGGCTCGTCAGCTAGTACTAGCCCAACAGCGGCCTGGACCATAGCCACCTCGCCCTACCACAGTGCGATATAACAAGGCATTTCCTATTTGGCACCACAGGCGTCAGTTAACGTGCATTTTGCTAACTGGCGCATGTGGCGTCTATAAATGGGCCGGCCCATCTAGGCGCTGGTTCTCGTTTTTTTTCAATTCTGTGAACTTTTTTCAGATTGATGAACTTTTTTGAAATTTAATGAACATTTGTCTTGAAAATTGATGATTTGTTTTTACTTATAAACTTTTTTTCAGTTTCATGAACTTTTTTCAATTTCTATGAACTTTTTGCAAATTTAATAAACTTTTGCTAAGTTGGATGAGCTTTTTTCAATTTGAATGAACTTTTTTTCAAATTATTGAAATTTTTCAAAATTTGTGAACCTTTTTTAATGATATGAATGTATTTTTTAAAATGGATGAACTTTTTTTCTTTAAATCTATAAACCTTTCTTCATTTCATATTTTTATTTTCGTAAAAAAATTAAAAAAACTTAGGGCAGCACGCTAATGGGCCGGCCCATGCTAGCAGGATTGCAGGCGCCGGATCGTTAACGGGCGCCTGCAGCGCTGTATAGGAGCTCCCCTATAACAAGATCGGTTCGGTGTCTCAAAAAAAGAAAAGAAAAAGATCGCTCCGAGACCGAGAGGACCTAGCTAGGGCACGACACGACCAGCCAACATATCAAGCACATCCATCGCAGGGCGTCGCTAGCTTTCCAATTAGTTCACGTCTTGATCGGGATCGAGTCCGTCCAGAGTCTCCAAACCAGCAGCAACTCCATCGATCGCAGTTCCATGGCCCTCCCTGCGCTGAGAGCTCGTCTCGGACTGGGCTGCGCCACCAGGATCGCCAAGTTTGGCGACGGCGGCTCCCGCTCCGGCATGGCCGCAATCGGTCGCAGCAACGGCAAGACCCGGTGCTTCTCCTCCACCGCCGAGACGTCTTCCAACTCCGAATCTAGTGGTCTTCAATACGCTATGACTGCGGTACGTGCTTTCGGTGCTGTTGTCGCCCTAGGATGTCTCTTTAGTATGGAGGATAAAGTCGACCAAATCGGCAAGCAAGTCCACCAAATAGAGCAAAAAGTATTGAAGATGGAGGACAAGGTCGATAAAATCGATGAAATAGGGAAGAAAGTCCACCACACGGAGGCCAAGGTCGATAAAATCGTGAGGATGGAGATCACTCAGATAGCAACTCAGTTGGACGACAAAGTCATAGCAAAGACTATCGACCAGATGGAGGGCAAGGTCCATTCAATAGTGAGCATGGAGTATAAAGTCGATGAGATGGCGAACAAAGTCGAGAAGATGGAGAGGAAGGTCGATTAAATTGTCGGGATGGAGGATAAAGTCGATGAAATCGTGAAGAAAGTCGATGAGGTGAAGGGCAAAGCCGACCAAATAGGTATGACGTGTGATAGTATCAGTATGAAATTGAATTGGAAAAAATGATAGCCTAAGACCAAACAAAGCCATCGATGTTGGGAGCACAAAACCGACATAATAGTCAGACAAATACTTGGTAGGTGCCGATATATACCTAGTCTCAAGAGTAGAATTTTGCGGTTTTGTCTTCTTCGGTTTTTCCATCGACATGGATGGCAGCCATGTAATATGCTATGTAAGACTCGATAAATTTATGTTTGGCAGTCTTTGTCTTTGTAGCCTGAAACCGAACATTTTATGATGCATTGTGTAAATAATTGCTTTGTGGCTTATACTAAAGCATATCATGCTAGGACTTCACATATTATTTTTTTATGAAGCATGCACCTATGCCAGACTTACAAAACTGGAACAGGCACTGTACATTCAGTCAATATCAGTGACCGGAGGTCAAGTGGCACATCTGCGACCATAGTCTGGTCATCATCCAGACTTACAAAACTCAACCGGCAGTATATAAAGCTTCAACTGGACCATAGTGTGATTGAAGAGCTACAACCGTTTATATGAAAAGTTTAGTCCATAGTTTGAAAAGATTTCAACCAAACCACCGCGAAACAAAAAAGTTACAATCGTCCTCTTATATGAAAGCTTCAACCGACGGCCTACAGTGTTGTAAGCGACGTACAGAGATGGTACAACCGGTGCGCGGCAACGCTACAAACAAGTGGGTGACTGGCGCCGATGGACGTGAAAAAAGCTTCGACGGTGGAAAAAAGTTTCAAGCAGCTTAGGAAAAGCTTCAAACTGTGATGAAAAAGCTTCAGTCGGCATGAGCTTGAACTCCATGAAAGCTTCCACCGTGTGAGAAAAAGCTTCGACCGGCGTGCTGTTTTTTGTGCGAACGGCGGCGTTGAGAGCTGCGGCCGGTGACACGGCAGTGCTGCAACGGACGTGCTACGACGGCAGCGGCTAGGTACTGCTACAGACGGGGGGCGTGCTACAAGGCAGCAATGATTTGCTACAAGGGCGGCGCATCCTGCTGGAACCGAAGAGGTTGGTGCTGCGCGAGGGACCAGCCCTGTGATTCTGTCCATTCTGATGTGATTCAGTGTTGTGTCACACCAAAGGTACGTACAGACGAATAAATTTTTTTATTGTTGTACGTGTGCTTCAAAATGTAATTCTGAGCATTGATAGATGTTCTGGGAAATTGTAAGCATGTATTCCAAGTGACACGGGTTGGAGAGTGGAGAATCGTATAACCTGAAAAGAAAAGAAAAACTAAAACGCGCGCCCGCTCCGTACGAGAGACAAATGCTGCTGCCCGCTGAGATTCGTGACAACGATCCAACGATCACTATATTCGACCTGAAGCCAAATGCAAATCAAGATTTTGACAGATCTTCAGCAAATATATAGATATAAAATCGAAAACAATAAGTCTATTTCAAGATAGCCAAAAATATCTCAAATCACACACATAAATTAGCTAATTAGGATGATGTTACCAATCAAAACATCCAATTGTCAAAAGAAAAGAACAATTTAGTTTCAGAAGTAATTGATAGGTTTCTTCTTGCATAATACGAAGTCTAAAAAAAAGATGAATACTAAGCAGTAATTCAATGAAACGGTGCCTAGCTAGCTAGATGTTTGTCTTCTCTACTCAAAAGCCCACTGGTTCTCCCTGCGTATCTCGGCCTCCTCCTCGGGTGTGAAGTCATTCTTGATGTTGAAAGTCTTGCGGATCTCCTCCGGAGTCTTTCCCTTGATCATGTCGGCAACAGTCTGGCAAGTAAGGTCGAGCAATCCCTTGATGTTGAGGTAGTTTGCAGCGAGGATGAGGTCTAAGAGGGTGGCCTGGTCGACCTTGACGAACTCGGCGTCAAAGCTCTTGAGGTCCTCAACCGGGGCGGCGTTTGCAGTAGAGGTGGAGGAGCTGGCATCGGCGTCGGCGGAGTCGGCCGGTTTGGGGTTGGCCTGGACGTGCTTCTTGCAGTACTCGATGACCTTGGAGAGGATCTTGGAGTCGACGTTGGGGAGCGGGATGCCATTGTCGGCGCAGTCGTCCTCGATCATGTGGCGGATGGTCTGAGACTCCATGGCGACCGCTTCCTCGACCTGAAATTCCTCGCCGTCCGAGCTCTTAAGCATGATCATCTTCTTCTCGCCTTCCTCGGACGCCATCGATCGGAGTAGGGAGGCGAAACGAAACCCTAGTTAGTAGCAAAAAAAGACACGGCGGCGGAAAAGCGAACGAAAGACACAGGAGCTTCTTTGCGTACGTGTTGGGCTAGGGTGGGAAGGGAACCGGGGGGATTTATTGGGGCCAGTGAGGCGGTGCCTACGGTGGACTCCGGGTCGTACTCGTGACGTAATCACTCGAGTTGGGCCCGGCCTCCTCCTGTAGTTTCCGTTTCCTTCGAGTGCGCAGATCATGGAGTCAGCCCGTCGGACGGGGATCCGGCTTGCCTGCACCCTTTTCGTGCTCCCATCCGTGCTCCCACTTCATCCTACGGCTGTCCTTTTCCCTTTTTCTTTTCTAATCTAATCATCTCCCCCCCTGATTTTCAGGGGGTGGGGCCGGGTCTTATTTTCTTTCAATCAAATCAAGCCACGTACGCGGGAGCATGGATGGGAGCATGGAAAGGGAGCAGGCAAGTCTCTTCCGTCGGACGGAGCTGCGTGGTCACGGCCAAGTGCCGCCGCGCGTCATATCTGAAGCCATCGCGGATGCCCGCTCCGTCGCCGCGTGTGGAGGAGGAGAGGCAGTCCGCGGCAGCCGGCCGTGGAGGAGCGCACGCTCGCCATGCATGGTCTTGCCCGGCCTCGCATGGCGTCCGTCGGCTAGACGCTTGAGTCCCTCGTCGGCCGTGAGTGCCTCTTCTCCCTCCCATCTCAGGTCAGGTTAGTGTTGCTCACTTGCTTGCTGCTGCTGCTGCTTTAATCAATCAATTTTAGGTCAACCAATCAATTTTTCTTTGTGTCTTCTTCAGGGTACATTACAGATTTCCAAAGTTTCCATGGTTTCAGAGAACTAAATTTCCATATCACCAGAATTTCGCCATTTCAACTAAATTTGCCATGCTTCTGTTTAGTTTTGCTCCTGCTGTAATCAATCGGTCAACCAATCATGTTTTATCTGCTATGCTTGTGTTTTCTTCAGGGTACATTACACATTTCCTAATTTGGCATGTTTTCAAAGAACTAAATTTGCCTTCCTCAACCAAAATCACCATGTGTTTCGGAGAACTAATCCCTAGAAAAAACTCTTAAATTATCCATGTAATTATTACAGATTCCCATGTTCCCATACATAGAAATATGATCTCTAATTCACGGCAAAAGTTGAAAAAATAACAGAATCATGTTTGGAGATCATTAAAGTCATGTTTTTCTACCCATGCCAAACTTAGAAGTATTTCTAAATTTTCACATAGCGAATTCGTAAAAAATTTTGTCTCCCATACATGGCAAATTTAGACCTTTTTGAAACACTCCCATGGCAAGCTTTAGGATTTATTTTTTCTCACTTAACCATGGCAAATCTACTTTATGGGTCATGGAAAATTTGCTTTCTGGAAAATTGCAAATTTAGTTGATGGACCATGGCAGATGTTTTAACTTCATAGTTACCATTGTAGTAGACAAATGATTGCCCATGGCAAATTTACTTTTGTTAGAATGGAAAATTTTATATTTTGGACCGTGCCAAATTTATTTTTTGTAGCATGGCTTTTTACTTGGTGGACCATGGTTAATAATTTGCAATGGTATTTTTTTTGTGCATAGCAAAAAAATTGGAACATGTCGTATCTGTTACCATGGCAAAAAAGTGTGTAACATGGAAATTTTGTTTCACAAACCATGGGAAGTTCTTTTTTATCATGGTGAACTTTTATTTTAGCCATGGGAATTTTTTGGTTACCATGATTTTTTTATATATATTTGGACCATGGAAAATTTACATTTTGTACTATATGGCTTTGTGACCACGGTGAATACATTTTAGAACATGGTCATTTATTGTCTTGAAACATGTCAAAAAAAATTCACACGTCATGGAAAATTTACTTTTTGTATCATGGCAAATTTCTTTTATTATCATGGCAATTTTGACCATCGTAGTTTTACTGTATGTAGCATCTCAGTCTTAGTACTTAGACCATCTCAATTATATTAATTAGACTAGATAACAGCGGAAAACTACCCTTGGAAAACTTTCTCATGTTTTAGCCATGGGCGCACTTAAGTTTTATAGTACATTCCTAGATTGTTCTAATGGAAAATGCTATTTTTGCATTGTCAATGGCAAATTTATTGTTATTTCGACCATGGATTTTTTTTTTATTCGAGACTGCCATGGCAATCTCTTTTTTCTTTTGAAATTAGCACGTACAATTTATTGTGCAAAATCTATGAATTTTGTCACGGCACAATTTCTAATGCATTCAAAATTATCTCGGTCTTTAGAAAATCTATGAGAGTGAATCTGCCATGCTCTTCTATCCTCGCCTGTGGCGGCTGATCAAATAGGTCAGCGTTCCTTACGTTATTGTCGTACGACCGATGACCGCCCAACAACTTACTGTCCAGATTAACGGCGACATCTGACCTTACACCCGAGCCCGAGTGAACGACCACCAAGGCCGCCGCCTCGCCGCCAGAGATGGCCACGATAACTATGTTAGGCCACCGCCTCAACCAATTGGGCTCCCCAGATAGAGGATGCCATGGGAGGCGGCCGTACGGACGAGGAGCGTCCAATACGGGCGGACTTACACTCCTGCCAGGGAATAGGGTAGTGGCTCCCATGATCCCGTCGTGGAACTTGACGGCACTGGGAGCGACTACATGCATTGGAGATGGCACTCCTTAATGGTGTCCATGAGGAACGGTGGCAGGCACTATGGTGCAAATCTGGCCACCCCTGTAAAGCTCTTGCTGGATCCAACATTGTTTGGATTGTCGGCGCCACTGGTAACTCCGCCTTCACAACCTTCAGCCACTACAAGTACTTGGCCAAACGTCCCCCAAAGCAGCACAGGAATGGAACCCTGCCGCCGCCGTCAGCTGCGCGGAAAAGCCTGGTGGCGGAGAGGGGAAGGCACACAGGGATGGTTGCGAGAAAAGGCGATCGAGTCGCTGCCCGTGTTGCCCACGCGGGCGACTGCTAACTTATATAGACTGAGAAGTAAAAAAAATTGAAATTGCAAATAGGGAAATACAAAACTGCGGATTGAAGGCGGGAGGCAATGACATAGTTAAAGACTAAAAGAATATGACTGAAAAGCGAACAAAAAGATTTCATCAGAAAACTAAAGAATAATGAGTCCAATGTACTCCCTCTGTTCCTAAATATAAGTCTTTTTATAGATTTCAATAAGAACTACATACGGATGTATGTAGACATTTTTTAGAGTGTACATTCACTCATTTTGCTGCGTATGTAGTTCCAATTGGAATCTCTAAAAAGACTTATATTTAGGAATGGGGAGATAGCTTGCATGTACGTAAAACATAATGCTTGGATTAAAATACCGTATAAAAAATTAACTAAAGAAAAAGATTGAAGACCAAGGACTGATAAAAATAAATTGCAAAGAGGGACCGAAGAAGATTCACTAACGAACTAAACAATGACTGATTAACAAAGTATAAGGAATAAACACAGCAGAAAAGAAAAACTGAAGAACGAATGACCAAACTGAAAATGTATCTGAAATTGAAATTATTGAGCTTTCTGAAAGCAATGACACCAAACAATGAAAAAACTGAGATAATGAATTCTTTTTTCCCTACTACAATGAAGAAAGAGCACTGAATGGAAACTTATTAGGAGTTTGAACACAAAACTGAAGAAAGAACACTGATTACTCGAGAAGAATAAAAAGGAATGAGGAATAAGGACAAACTCAAACATAAAACTTAGGGAGCCGAGAGACTTGAAAAAGGAAACTAAAAGAGGGTCTAGTGTGTTTGATTTAGTTCCGCCATTAAAAATTATTTACGACTGAAAAATGATGCAACCATGCATATATATTCAGTGAAAAAAGACTTAAATGATAAACTGAACAATCATACAGAGATGTATCTCCTGAAGGACTACCGATGAGAAACAAGCCTGTATTCAAAAAATCACCTTAACCAGTCCCTCGTTGCCATGAACAAAATAATCACCATGTAATATCCATACTATATGTACGTACTACTCTATTTTGCAACATGATTTTGATTGAATATTTAGAAGCAACTATGCTCAAAATAGCAGCCTAAGTTAGCAGTGCAGCAGCTCCCATTCGCCTAGCAAAATTGACGCAGGCAATCGGGACCGAAGAACACTAATAGCATCCCCGTCCAAAAATCATTTTTCTGCCGAATGCCCCCACACTTGTATACCTAGTTTCCGCTGCTAACGACACTGATAAAAAAACACCCAAAAATTACGCACAACACTAAACACAAATGAAGTGCACAAAAAATCGATCGGTAATTCTTTTTACTGTTTTGTACACACTACACTACCGTTCTAGTGATTGTTTTTACGTTATATATAAAACAAATATTCTCTGGTTACTGTTGGCAGACGGTTTGGGCCATCTGTGAAGTCTAGTGTAACCACTGTTTACCGCTGTATTGATGAGCCAAACTTTTTCCAAGCCACACTTGCCTGACAAATTAGTTAGTTATGAACGAAACATGCATGCCCTTAGAACTGAACGTTGTCTGACAAATGAAATAGCTACCCAACACAAAATCTGATTGATTAATTCCCAGAAACAATAGAAAAAACTATACAAATCGCACAAAATGGACATTTTCGTTTCTTTTTCAACAAAGAATGTTCCCGAAATCTCAAAAGTGCACGCGCACTTTTTTGCGAGACCGAGCGGCCGGCTGTCAACCACACGATTTCAATCACACGCGTGCATCCCCACTCCAGATGTCATCTGGTCGGGAGCCCACATCGTCATCCCATTCCAGCCAGCCGGCCTGCCCACCATCCACCCCGCTGTCTCTCACTGTCTCGCATCTCCCCAAATTCATCTGGATC